ATAGCTGATGCTCATACTATGGCCTATTATTACCCCTAGGTCCCTCTCAGTCATGGTGCCACCAAGCCTGTAAGTATGTTGGGGATTGTTAGTCCTGAGATGGAGCACTTTACACTTCTCAATGTTGAGCTTCATCTGACTCCAATCCGCCCAACTTGCTGACCTGTCTAGGTCTGCCTGTATTTGCAGCCTAACTTGGTGTTGTCTGTGAACCTGGCCAGTGAGCTCTTCACCCCCACATCCAAATCATTGATAAAGATGTTAAAAAGCACTAGACCAAGCACGGACCCCTGAGGGACAACACTGGCCACTTCTCACCACGACGACACAGATCCGTTCATTAGAACTCTCTGGGTCCTACCCTGCAGCCAGCTTCCTATTCACCTGCCTAACTGTTGAGCAGTTAAGCCTGCAATCCTCCAATTTTCCCATGAGAACATCATGGGATACCAGATCAAAGGCCTTTTGGAAGTCTAGGTATACGATGTCAACCTCCTCTCTTATCCAGGTGGCAAGTTACCTGGACACAGAAGGAGAGGAGATTGGTAAAACAAGACCTGCCCACGATGAAGCCATGTTGGCTGTCCTTCAGAATCCTAACTTCTGCAAGCCTATCGCACATAAATTCCTTGATGATTTTTTTCTAGGATTTTCCCTGGGATACAAGTTAGGCTAAGTGGCCTATAGTTGCCCAGGTCCTCTCTCCTCCCCTTCTTGAAGATGGGCACAACATTGGCCTTCTTCCAGTCTTCAGGGACCTTTCAACTGAACCAAGCAAAATGCAAGTAAGAATTCAGTACAAGCCCTACAGAAGATGTATTCTATGTATTAACAATGTGGTTCTCTTTATGCCTCAGCACTAGTGAGGGAAAACAACATGCACACATAGGCACGCACTTGCAGGGTTTGAGCAAGACTGGGGAACGTAGCTGGCCACAGGGTGCAAGATACAATGCAGACATTGGAAGCACAGGAACCACAACCTTCCTGAAGTCTGGAGTTCTAATGAATGGAAAAAGAACAGCTTCTACATCCATGCGTCTTGATATGTACCTCAGCCACCAACTAAGAAACAAGTGGCAGTTCTGTATCTCAGGGTCCTTCAGTCCTAGATTTCTCTGCTAAGATAATCAAGGGCATCACCATCACTTGTGGTAACTTGAGATACAGGCACCTCACCAGGGCTAGAATAAAATCACACCAATCCATATGAGGGGCCAGACTGCCTCCAGATGGTAACCACTTTATCACTGTGTACTGAAAGCAATTCCAGTTTGAAGAAGGTATTTATAAAGACCATTGCTGAGCTCATTGCTAGGCACCAAGAGTCATTCCAAATGGAACTGTTAAGTTTGATGTGATCTATGAAGTTACAGATCTGCTTTCAGGCATGACCTTTGGACTCTGCATCTTGGACTAGAAAATGATGAAAAAAGCAGTTTTAGAGCTGAGAGTGATGCTTTCAGGAAAATGTCACATCTTAACAGTTGGACCCAGTTTCTGAAGCTGCAATGCCATGTTGGCTGCCTGGCTGCATAAAAAAGTGGTCCTGTATCCTGCATTTCCATCTACTACCTCAGTTAAGCCCCCATACCTAGTCACTCCTCAGAACAGTAAGAATTTCCATGATGCAGATCCTTGCTGGAACTTGGCAGAGTGTGGACAAGAAAAAGCTGGGGTTCAGGTGCATGGAAGGCCCCACTTCCAGACACCAAAGTACATTTTAAAGAGATAAGTAAAATCAGATATAGCATATATTTTTGAAGCTGTACACTTTTCTCAGCCCATTCATAGCACCTGACAGCAGGCAGCAACCTACAAAAGCACACTCTTTGAATGAGTGACAAGGCAGGTCAAGGTGGCATCTTATAGACTTGCTCAGTACTTGTGAATCTGTCCTAAGGATTTCCCATCCTACTTCAAAGCCCTGTATAATGGGGGGCCCTGCTTGGCAGAGGAAATAATGGAACTCCAGAACAGTGGTCACTCCCCTCCGCCCCACCCCACCCCGAGAGGCTAAGCATATAGAAACTATCAAATTTACCCCTTCCCAAAGGAGCAAAGACTAGCAATTCCAGCTTGGGAACTGATTTGTGCTAACCATTAAAGCACCCCAAAAATGCATGCCATTTTTTGAAATCATAAGACAGCCCTCTTTTCTCTATAAGATGCTGTATCATCAGTTTTGCATTCTAGTTGTCCAGAAAACAGGAGGTACCAGTATTTAGCAGTCTCTAGGTTTTACATAAAAAGACCCTTTGACACAGTATTTCCATCTTTCTGGTAACAATTTTAAGGAGAGACAATACTAGACAGTTTAAGACTAGTAATGGAATACCCTCAAGGTAAAAGGCTGTGTAACTGCTTCAAAACTGGGCCATTTCAACCTGATGGTTCTTTAGGGCTACCCAAGGAGTATTTAGCAGTATCTGTTCAGCTCTTACTGCAGAGGCCCTCACATCATCTATACCAGTGCTTCTCAAAGTGCTGGTCCGTGGACCGGTGCTGGTCCGCGAGCCACTGGTTGCCAGTCCGCAGCAAGTTGCCAGGAAAGAAAGAAATATATTTTCAGAAGCATTATATTGATATGTCATAGCGTCACAGTTCATACGTTCCAACGCTCCAGGTGACGTCACTTTGTGCAAGGTGAGGAAAGAGAAAGAAACAGCTGGTCGCGCATTTGTGTAGCGCTGTTACATGCAGTTGCTGCCACCGGCTGAACCAGGCACCGGTCCCTGGCCCACTGGAAAAAAAATTGCCAGTCTGCCACATCAGATAGTTTGAGAAGCACTGATTTATACAGTACCTTAGCTGGCAATCTCAGCCTGGGCACAGATGCTTAAGTGGCTTTCACACCTGGCCTTAGCTCTACCCAGTCACATTAGAAGCCAGTTGGCAGGGACGCTTGTATTGTTATTACTCTGCAAAAATTACGGAGAAAAATTTGATTGCCTAGAATTTTACAAGCATTAAAAAACCCCACTCAGATAAGTTGCAAAGCTATCTACTCCCATTACTCAAAAGGCATGCAATTTAGCAAGAGTACCATTAAATGCTGAAAATATCAAAGCAGGCAGTGACACTCAAAATATGACAATAAAATTAGCTTCATTTAAAAAGGATTCAATAGCATGCACAAGAGAACAAGGGCAGGGTTTAAAATTAATTTATTAGTATTTTTTTTAAATAGAGAAATATGGTATTGTTTTACAGTATACACCAGTTATAGGTAATGTTTTTGGTCAGGGTGCCAAAAACACCTGCAATCTCAACTCATAAGATGTTGGTGTGCCAGGGGTGGATGGTGTGGGAGACTTGAGGGGTTTAATCCTTGTTGTGGCAGCACAGACCTGGCCCCTTCCCTGACAGCCACCCAGAGGCACGCGTGCCAAGCAAAATGCCTCCATGTCCCACACGCTAGCACCCATGCTGGGGGTTGCCTATCCTTGGTATACACCATGACTGCAAAGGCACAACTCCTATTGATTATATCAGGAATCATTTTTCATTAGTACATTTGCTAGTAAGTTACTCGTCCTGCTGTCCACATTTGTAACTGAATCACACTGATTTTCCTGCTTCACCTGCTTCCAGCTGATTACAGATAACCCTCTCCAACAGAAGTGCAGCTTTTAGAACCTTAGAAGTAGCAACAGAAATGGTGTCAATAGTGTCTCTTATGAGCTGCATTTGTTTCCTTTTGGGCAATGCTAAGTGCAGCAGAGCAGCTCTCAATTTCAAAGAGCTCTCACCTAAGGATAGATGTATTCAGTTCTTTCCTGGGGGCCTGCAGATGCTCAATACCTCTTGGGAAAAGGCCTTAAGTGAGCCAAGCTGTCTCCAGACACATGAATGATAGCACTTACATCAAATCTTGTCCATAGCCCCTTAATTTGCTACCGTCATTTCACAGCTACCCTGACCTCAAACTATCCTCTTTGCATGGATATCTGCAGAGCACTATTATAGAACCTCTTGAGGGCGATGCATAATAAGAATTTATTACAATTAGGAGTCAAGCCACACTGCTCCTTTAAACTCTGAATCGGTTTGCCTCATCCCAAGTGTTAACAAGCTCTTGATTCTCTCAGCCTCTTGCTTTCAGATTAAACTCCGAAGTGCCAACTGCTACAGCCCCAGGGCTGGTTCTCGTGAAGATGCCAAGTACCAGGGCCTGAATGAGATTGCTTCTATCAAACCCTTGGGGCCATTATTTTGCATTGGGGATGGTGAAAACTATGACAGATTGCAAGTCGCCACAGGACCTGCACCCTGCCAGGCAGCATTACATTTTAACTGCTGCGAGTGGATGCAGAAGAGAGCGCAGCGCCACTCCTTGGCTCTTAATTACAGTCTTGTGACATTATAGTTAATGGTCTGTCAGGGTTTCCATTATAAGCCTTGATTTTGCAGGAGGCGGACAGATTAAGCTCAGTACCCCAAGTACTCGGTCATAGAAGCTTTAGATTTGAGCTAATCTCATTGTTCTTTTGGCATAAACCTCTAGATACTCCCTTTTCATACAGCTGGCTGCTTGTGTTAAGTCTCTACTGATGCTCCAAAATGCCATGACTGTTTTTTAATTGGAGGCACAAGTAATGCCATGCTTGAAAAGTGTTGCTGTGATGACAGCTTTGTACATCTATTGATGACATCAGGGTACAAATCCCTGATCATTTCACCAATATGACTCTGGGAAGCGGGTTCTTAAGGCTGCAAAGGACATGGAGCTAACAGAAAGGTTGCGACTAATCCAAGTCCTGTTAAGCCAAATGCATTTTTTTTTTTTTAACTGATAAGCTGCTATACCAAGCTACAGCAAACAGCACAGAGCAAAACATGTGGCATATCTACCAAGAACTGCGTATGGTGCAATGTCGCTCCATGATAACTCAGCCTGTGTAGGCTTCAGAGCAATTACGAAGCTGTGGATAAAGCTTCCCCCTACCCTGTTTTGCTGTCCTCGCAGCCCTGCACCCCTCCCTCCCAAGACTCCTTACCGTTACTGTAGGCATAAGGGGATTCGGATGCTCCATCTTGAAGGCTCTCCAGGATTTCTCCTTTTCCAACATCACTGTCTCCTACCAACAGGAACTTGAGCAGATAATCGTAGCTCTTCACAGGGCTTCCCTGGGTTCCCATTCTCCCTCTCATTAGCGAGGGGACACGATCGGCATACTAAACACGCAGCCAGAGCGAGAGGGCACCGCGGCTCCAGCTCCAGCTCCAGCTGCCGGGCCCCGGGCGGGCAGGGCACGCGGAGGCTGGGCTCCTCGCCGCCGAGGAGGAAGCGCCGCTCTCAGCAGGAGCCCTCCATCCTCCCCGCTGCGCGGACCTGCCTGGCGCGACGCCGGGAGCCTGCGAGGAGAGAAGGGGGCGCTGCAGTGAGGTCCCGCCGCGGCCGGGCGCTGCCGCCCAGGGACGCCCTTTGTTCGGAGGCGGCGGCGCTGGGCTGGCAGGTCGGAG